TGGAAGCAAGTCCAGAGATCCACCTCTCTGATCCCACGATCATGGTATGTCTTCTGCTGACCCAGAGTCTCCCTTGAGTGGTTCTTCCCAAGGTCCAGACGTTGGAGGGGAAGGTTTTTGAGCTACATCCAAATACGAGCAACTAGCAATAAAGCTGATTTGGCCCTCCATCCTACTGCCTCAACAGGCCTGTGTGAACACCTCTCCATCGGTCTGAACATGGTGGAGGGGTTGTATCACCCTCAAACCCCAACACTAGCATTGGTACCAGTTTCTGTTCATTCATTCTTCTCGTTGATCTGAACTGCGTATCGTGTCCTGTGTCTTCTGTATTCCCCTCGCACAGAGACTGCCACGGAAGTTCTCCATATAAATAAAATAGACTCAGGTCTTGATTGAATTCCTGTTCCATTTATGAGATAAGAAGGGATACAAAATATACAGATGAGACACAATATAATCCTTGCCCTCAGGGGTCTTCAGTTTCACCAACAGCCTCGGAGGGGCAAGGCAGGCTTCCCAAAGAGGAGACATTTGAGCTGGTTCTTGAAGGATACCTGGGGCACTGCAAGAGAAGTATGAAGATGCAGAGATGTGAAAGTTCATTCAAGGGAATAGTGTGCCCCCTCAACGGGGCTTGGAAGAACTGTTCTGGGGGACACCTCCCCACACATCTACACACACCCTCTGGGTAAACCAGAGGGCAGGGCTTCACTTCGGTTCTCCTCAGTCCGCTCTTGTGGGCAGATCAATTGAGACTGAGCACTGAAAACCAGATGCTGACAGTAGGAAAAGAGGCTCAGAGACTAGGTCCCATGGAAAAGTAGGATATGGCACTAACCATTAGTCATCCCTCTTTTCCCACCCTTGCTCCAAGCAAGCTCCTCTTGCAGTTGGGGCGTCCCGCTTTGGGGTGGCAATAAATGTAATAGCACTGACCCCTCTTGGACTCTGATTTGATGGTGTTGGGTCCTGGCAAAGCGAGTTATTCCCAGGAAAGTCAGAGTCAGTCCTCAGAGAATCGCCACAGGCCCTGCTCCAGACAGGAATTCAGGCCTTAAAAGCCACTGCCCCTGCCCACTCTTACATCCAAAGCAGAGGCCTGGACCTCACTGATCTATTAACACTGAGTTACTTCAGAACGGGAAATGGAGCGGGGTTGGGGTGGGGTGGGTATTCTTCACTGGCACATTTTATTTACTACTAAGACCTGCTTCTTTAAGGCATTTGCTTTTTTATCTTTGTCTAGCCCAGTGGTTCTCACCTGGGAGCTGTTTTTCTCCCCCAGAGAACATTTGGCAATGTCTGGAGACACTTTTGGTTGTCACAACCTGGGATGGGGGTAGGGGGGTGTGTTACCGACCCACATCTGGTGGGGAGAGGCCAGGGATGCTGCTAAACATCCTATAGCCTACAGGACAGCCCCTCCCAACAAAGAATAATCCTGTCCAAAATATCAATAGTGCCGAAGCTGAGAAATCCTTTATCTTGCTTAGACAAAAGTTCAGTGACACTGACCCTTAAAGTATTCTATGGTCTTGGGGTGCCTGGCTGGCTCAGTCAGAAGAGCACATGGTCAGGAGTTTGAGCCCCACGTGGGTGTAGAGATCATTTAAATAAATAAATATTTTTAGGGACGTTTGGGTGGCTCAGTCCGTTAAGCATCTGCCTTTGACTCAGGTCATGAACCCAGAGTCCTAGGATTGGGTCCCACGTCAGGGAGCCTGCTTCTCCCTCTGCCTGCCGTTCCTGCTGCCTGTGCTCTCTTTCTCTGACAAATAAATAAATAAAATATTTAAAAATAAATAAATATTTTAAAAAGTAAATAAATAAATAGGGGCGCTTGGCTGGCTCAGTCAGTTGAGCATCCGACTCTTGATTTTGGCTCAGGTCATGATCTCAGGGTTGTGAGACTGAGACCCGTGTGGGGCTTCCGTCTCAGTGAGAAGTCTGTTTGAGATTCTCTCTCTCCCTCTGCCCGTGCCCCCCTTCACACTCTCTCTCTCAAATAATTAATAAATAATCTTTAAAAATTAATTAATTAAATATCCTACGGTCTGGTCAGCAGTAACTAACACAAGGTTTTTATTTGGCAACTTATCAATGAATTCGTGCTCGACCTCTTTTCCCCAGTCCCTGTTATGGGGAGGTGGTGGACGTTGTGGTTGGGGGATACTGCAGAGGTATATTAGGGTCAGATGGGGATGAGAGATGGGGTCACACAGTGCAAAGAACACAGGCTTTGGAGTCAGATCTGAGGTCATATTCCAGCCTCAACTACTCATTTAGCTGTGTGCCTTTAGGTAAGTGACTTAACCTCTCTGAGCCTCAGTTTTCTTGTCTATAAATAGGACAACTCCTATCTTACAAGGTCCAGGCACTCAGCTATTAATGTGACTTCATCTTGAGTTGATAGGGAGCTATCAGAAGATGTTACGTGAGCATGGACGACAAGGTCAGCTTGGAGTGGTTGCTGGGACAGCCTGGAGAGGACACTACTTACCCTCACAGTCTCCAGGCAGGTTCGGAGGTCTTTCTTGAAGTCTAGCTAGAATCTCTCCCTTTGCTTGGTTGGTGCCTCAGCTGGTTGTTGCCAGCACAGTGGTCTGACTACGCTGCAGAGGTTGTGATTTGCATTTTGGTCTCCGTGCTGTGGGTAGATTTCCTCCTTTTTGCCTGGGGGTGGGGACCCAGGCTGTTAAAAGCTTTGGGGTTGCCAGGCCAAAAGCAGAGGTTGCCAGGCACCACAAGACATCCCTCAGCCAGGGCTTTTGTTTACCAAAGCCCGGGCTCTAGGAGACAGGGATCTGGGTTATTCCAGAGCACAGGGCTCCCAGGCTCGGGAGGGGCAGAAGTGGCCCATTAGAGGAGCTGGGAAGAGGTTTCCCAAGCCTGGGAAAGTGAACTGGGGTCTGGGCATCTTTGCTGACACAGCTGTCTTTCCTTGAGTAAGACTTTGCAGCACTCCCACTCAGATCTCCCAGGACCTCTGATGGGCCTGCAGAGCCCCTGTTTCTGGGGAAGGGATGGGTGTGCTTGTGCTGAGTGTGGTGGCTTGGGAGTCACAGCAAAAGACCACTGGGGCAAAGCCAAACAGATTCATGAGGATAGAGCGAAATTAATTTCTGATTAAGTCCTCCCCTGAATGTCCTGGACTGGACACACCCTCAGGAATTATACATAGTGCTTAGGAGGGGTGGGGACATTATCAAAAATTAAATTATATAAAGTTGCAGTTAAATAAAATGTATAAAATGGTAATAACAGGGCACCCGGGTGGCTCAGTCGTTAAGCGTCTGCCTTCAGCTCAGGTCATGGACCCAGGGTCCTGGGATCAAGCCCCGCGTCGGGCTCCCTGCTTGGCCGGGAGCCTGCTTCCCGCTCTCCCACTCCCCCTGCTTGCGTTCCCTCTCTCACTCTGCCTCTCTCTGTCAAATAAATAAATAAAATCTTTAAAAAATAAAAAAATAAAAGGTAATAGCATTCGAAGTGCATCACTTCCTAATCGTTTCAGTGCGGCCCGCTATCACCCGCGCCCTGGGGTTATTCACGTCTGGACGGTTTTAACGTGGCATCATGCTGCACAGCTGCACCTCTTCACAGCATCTCCTCCGGTGACGTCATGCTGGCAGCTTGCAGTCCGTGGCCCCCCGCGGCCGGCGGGATTTATACCACGGCGACTGGCAAATGTTACAAATTAAGTCTCTTCTTAGCACCACCCACCCTCAACCGTTTGTAAACATTTACCAGCACACCACTGGGTAGAGGATTCCCCAAATATGAATGACTATGATTGAATTTCCCGCCAGCCTGGCTGCCTCGAGGGCAGGGATGGGATTTGGAGCAGATAATGGGATATAGAGAAATAAATAAATGTGACACGTCTTACATCTGAGCATTGTGGATAACATGCATACTTGCTACAAATACCTAGTCCAGGGCGTTTCTCCCTCCTCCTGTAGAGACAAGCGCGCACACCCACTCACAAAGCACCCTCTTGCGCACCCTAAGACACTCCTGTGGTGCCTTCCCGATAGAATAGCACCAGGAATGCCACGAGGGCAGGGACTCTTTTCACTGCTGCTTTAGTCTCAGCAACCTTCCCAGTTTCCCTGGCCCCCAGGCAGACAGTTGAAGCCCTGCTCGGGGGGGAAGGGGGGGGGCACAAAGGCTGATGGGAGAACCAGCCAGAAACCAGGAGTTGCAAGCACACGGAGATCTACTTGGGAGCAGGGAAGATTGTCAGTTGGGGCAATTCCTCCCCAGGGAACTTTTTTTTTTTTTTTAATTCTAAGTAGGCTCCACGCCCAGCACGGAGCCCAACAAGGGGCTTGAACTCACTGAGATCAGGACCTGAGATGAGATCAAGAGACCAGGCACCCCCACTGTTTTGTTGGTTTTCTTCCCTAAGTTTTTACTCAAATTCCAGTTAGTTAACATACAGTGTAATGTTAGTTTCAGGTACACAATATAATGATTCAACCCTTCCCCAGGGAACATTTGGCAATATCTAAGAGACATTTTTGGTTGTGACGACTTGGGGGGAGAGGGTATAGTGGCATCTGGCAGGCAGAGGGGTCTAGCAGCAACTAAATATCCTACAGTGCACAGGACAGCACCCCCCCACACACACACCCCATCAAAGAATTATCCTGCCCCAAACATCAATAGGGCTGAGGTTGAGAAGCCTTGGGATAGGGGCCCCAGTGGGGAGACATTCAGACCTGGCTGGGTCTAAGAAGAGATAAAGAGAAGGTCTGCTTGCCCGGGAGCTTCTGATGCCTCCCTCCACCACTGCCCATTTCTCCACGTGGCGTTCAGTCTCTCACTCTGCGTCTTGTCCTGCTTCTCTGGTCTGTCTCTGCTGTCCACCCTGTTTATCTCTGCTTATCTCGTGGCCCCTCTTCCTCATCTCAGTTGTGCCAACTGCTCTAGCCAGATCCTTGTGTTCTGAGACATGAGACAAGCCTCTGGCATTCCTACTCCCTCGCCCACACTAATCACTCCAGCTGCCTTGGCCTGGGAGCTAGGCCAGGAGGCTGGCAAAGAGGGAGGGTGGAAAGACAGGGAGCCTGAAGGTTCTCACTCTCCCCACCACCCATCCTGCCCCTAGGGTCCCACTATCTCTGAGATACCTGGAGCTCCAGCCTGCTCTCATCCCCAGGGCCTGGGACCTAAGTCAGCCTGCCCAAGTGGCCTTACCCTGTCTACTGACCCCTTTCCTCCCCCACCCCACCCCCCAGCTCCTTAAATTTCCCCTCTAGCCTAGTCCAGCAGCTGTTACAAAACAGCTGGGTGCTGGGCAACTCCTCACCCCCGGCCCCACCCTGAGCAGTAAGAGATACCAGGCTCATGACTGCTGCTGAGCGCAGTCTCCTTTGCTCAGTGACCAAGAACTCCTGCCTGGCCTCCTCCCTGGTCTTGGTTTCCAGGACCCAGAACCCAGCACTCAGAGCCAGGACATGATACCCTGTGCTTAGAACCCAGTGCTCAGTATCCAGGCTCAATTAATCGTGTCCATCACCAGGACCAAGGACCCAGGACCCAGCCCTTGGTGTCTGGCCAGAGCTGCCTGTCCTGGTTCCTCCACTCACTTCCCCTGGCACACCTTAGGGACTTCATGGGCCCAGTCTGCTGTATGTTGGGCCAGTGGAGCCAGAGGGTCAGTGCTGTGTGAGGCCAGGGACCCTGCAGAAAAGTCTGGTGGCAATTTTAAAACAAATTTGAATGTCTTTTAAGTAAAAATCATCCAAATGAGGATTTAAAATAAAATTGGGGAAAGGACCAGCAGTATGGGCCGAGGGAAGAGAGGGAAGAGAAAAGCCAGGGTATATTGTTGCCAGGCAAAATCCAGGATGCCCAGTGAAATTTAAATTTCAAGAAACCACAAAGACTTTTTAAATGTATGTTCTTGCCATATTTAGAACATAGTTTATCTGAAATTCTACTTTAACAAGGGTCCTGTATTTTGATTTTCAGCAAGCCCACCAGGGGATAGGCCTCTCCCCCAGCCCTCATCAAGATTATCTTCCAGCAGCTTTAGGTGGGGGAAAAGGGATCGTTTCTATCACTGCTCACTTTTCGATAGAAGAAACTATAGGGGATTCTATTTTTTATTATTTTTAATTTTATATATCGTCTCGTTTTCTTTAAGGAGCCAGCATTGGTTTACTATAAAAAATAAATCAAATATTATAGATACCATGTCTTGCCTAGATTATTTCTTTCTTCTTTTTTTATAAGTAGGCTTCAGGCCCAGCACGGAGCCCAGTGTGGGGCTTGAACTCACAACCTGGACTGAAATCAAGAGTCAGATGCTTAGGGGCGCCTGGGTGGCTCAGTCGTTAAGCGCCTGCCTTCGGCTCAGGTCATGATCCC